TTTTCTTACTTCACGTGTTTAATAGAAAGATTGCTGAATTAGCTAGAATTAAGGTGATTTTTAAAATCACGCGCCTATTAATATTGACAAGCAGATTTTTAGTGATATTCAGTTGTTGCATTGCATAAATCAAGGGATTTAATAGCTATCCGATTACAATCTACATAATTATCTTCAGTCATTTTTTGTTACTAAAAACAATATATTTTCAATGATTTTCGGTCAATTCAAACGTCAATAAAAAAAATGTATAAAAGGATCACTAGCACCATTATTCCTTGACATCATAAACCGATTTTAGAGAAAAAAAAAAATACAGGGATTACAATAACATCACATCGACCAAAAAAATGCTGCCACCCTTTGGTATTGTCGACTCCGTTAACAGGAGAAACAAACTTTTTTTGCGTTTGAGAGCAGTCCGAGTTATTGAAACGCATCACGAACGGGAGAGCTTGAACACATTGCATATACTGTTTCATGATGCACAGGTAATATTTAGTTTTTTAAAATTTATTTTATATAATTTGAAATGATTTTTTTATTAATATTTATTAATTTATATTGTAGGGTGCATTCAAATTAAATGCATAATACGTTCTCCAAATATTGAAGCATTTCGAGGTAAATTCAACCAAGGCGAGGTGTACTCAATACAAAACTACAATGTTGAATTTAATAATGGGAGGAGAGATATCACGAACATGTGGAAACTTGTGATTCCTAGAAGAACTCTACTATGCAACTATGCTTGGAATTTCCCTCAATATGGTGATATTTTCGCACAACACTAGCGAGGATCAAGAAGATTGAATATAATTAGGGTTTTATAAGAATTTCGATTTATGTTATGAATTTTTTTTTATTTTTTTTTTTTGCATGTCGTTGAATATGTTTGATAAGAATTCCGATTTATGATAATTAGTGTTTGAATATTTTTTTATTAGTATTCCATGTCGTTGAATATGTTTATTTCTATTATGTTTCGTGTTCAAAAATTTATTTGTGTTTTTGATTGATCATTGTGCTGAATTTTCATTATGTTACAATTACAATTAACTGAATTTATTTTTTATTTTTTTTTTAAATGAATCTTTACATGCTTGCAAAATGTTTTTTTTTTTTGTTTGTTTGTAAATGTATATATATATTTAAAAAAAACCATTACTAACTGTTCAATTAATAAACGGGATTTGCCAAATTTTGTCAACATTTTCATATAAATTTTCTTAGATATTAATGACTTCATTTCATACAATTATGTAATTTAAATTATGAGATAACTGTCATTCCGACTATTAAATTTTTTAATTTATTAGATAACTTATCACCATAACTTCTTCCTAATATAAATATAACCATTAGTAAATCAAAATCGGATTATTTAGAAATCAATTTTAATTCTTTATTTCCATTAGTAAATCATTTTATTTAGACTAATTATGACATTACATATTAATAATTTTTTTTATTATATTAATATGTTTTTTTAACATACTAATGACTTCATTTCATATAATGATCTAATTTAAATAATATGATAACAATTATTCCGAGTATTAAATATTTTATAATTTAATGATAACATATGATTATAACTTCTTCCTAATATTAATATAAGCATTATTAAATCAAATTCGTGATATTTATATATCAATTTTATTTTTATATTTTCATTAGTAAATCATTTTATTGACTAATTAATATATTACTAATTAATATATTACATATTAATGAGCTATTATTAAAATCGGAAACGATCAAACAAAAAAAAAAAATATGTGAAGTACAAATTGGATACTATCAACATAACTCTATAACAATTGCAATTAACAACAACTCTTAACAACAAACTATTAGATAATTATCATTTGGAAATAATTTCACACGGTTATTTAACTATTAAACATAAAATATTATTGGATAATTAAGTGAAGATCTTATTTATCCCTAATGAAAACTAATTAGGATTATGTAGATAAAAGATTAGTTGTTATCCTCTATAACAAACTATTAGATAACTATCATTTCATAAATAATTTGGCACGTTTAGATAACTATTAAACATAAATAATCATTGAATAATTAATTTAAGATATTATTTATCTCTAATTAACACTAATTAGTATTATATGGAATAAAAGATTTGTTGTTATCCTCTAGAACAAACTATTAGATAAACTATCATTTTATAAATAATTTCATACATTTAAAACGTGTGATAATATGTTACCTCTCACGCTATCATGTGATTTAATATCTATCCGATTACATAATTTCATACGAATATTTTAGTACCTGTTGGCAATATCTAAGACATTTGGTTAGTCTATTTATCTTTTTCTATTTATACATGCGATTGATTTAAATTTTTTTATTTAAATTCAATTACCAACTGATCATCATGGACAATTTATGATAATTTGGTTTAAATTCAATTACAAATTTACGTGGACAAATTTTGTTCTCCTTATTTAAATACATTTTTGTTGGAATTACTTAACAACTAATTATCATAAATATATTAAAAGATTGGATGATTTAAATTATATTACTATATATATTAAACCAAAAACTAACATTAAAAATTAATAAGTGTAAATAAAATATCATAATGAGCTATTATTAAAATCGGAAATGATTATTATCAGAATAGGTTTGCAACTGATAGTGACAGTATGCATTCAAGATCAAACCGTCTGATTATGGATGAGTTAAATTACGATCGAAGGGCTCTTGCTGCTGAACACGAAATGCTTCTTGAGAAAATGACAGATGAACAGAAAGGAGTTTATTCAACCATTATGTCATCTGTTGATTCTGGTCGAGGCGGTGTTTTTTTTGTATACAGATATGGTGGAACGGGCAAAACTTATTTGTGGAGAACGTTATCTGCTGGTATTAGATGCAAAGGTGGCATAGTGTTGTGCGTAGCATCAAGTGGGATAGCATCGCTTTTGTTGTCCGGTGGACAAACGGCTCATTCTCGGTTTGGAATTCCAATTAATCCCCACCAAGAGTCCTCTTGCAATATCAATCAGGAAAGTTGTCTCGCAGAATTGATAATACGTGCTTCTTTGATAATTTAGGATGAGGCTCCAATGATGCACAAGCATTGCTTCGAAGCTGTCCAAACCTCATTGCAGGATATAATGGGAGCAATTGATCCTTCTAACAAGGACAAACCATTTGGAGGCAAATCAGTTGTGTTTGGTGGAGATTTCCGACAAATTCTTCCTGTTATTCCGAAGGGTAGCCGTCAGGACATAGTGAATGCTGCGATTAATTCTTCGGATATCTGGAGGAGTTGTACTGTGCTCCGTCTTACGAAAAACATGCGTCTTCAAACCCTCACGAATTCAGAAGAATGTGAAGAGGTTGCTCGGTTTGCAGAATGGATAGCGAGCATTGGAGATGGAATCATAGGAGGACCTAATGATGGTTGTGCAATCATAGACATACCTGAGGATATAATGCTTGTGCCCTCGGATGATCCGATTGCCCAAATTGTAGAGAGCACGTATCCAATGTTTAAGCAGGCAACTGATGATCCCAGTTATTTAAAGGACAGGGCAATATTAGCTCCTACGCTAGATGTTGTTGAGTCTATCAATGAGTACATGACATCGTTGAATTTATCTGACGGTCAGACGTACTTAAGTTCTGATAGTACTTGTAAGTCAGACTCTAATAACGATTTTCTGTCTGATATCTACACGCCTGAATTCTTAAATAGTATCAAATGTTCCGAAATTCCAAATCATCAGTTGCATTTGAAGATTGGAACTCCCGTCATGTTGTTGCGTAACATGGATCATTCCATGGGTCTATGCAATGGGACGCGGTTGGTTATCACAAAACTCTCAACTCATGTTATCGAGTGTAAGATACTAACTGGGGATAACGCAGGCGAGAAAGTGTTGCTTCCTAGAATGGCTATTACTCCTTCTGATTGTTCGAATTCCTTTCAAGTTCCAGAGGCGTTAGTTTCCTATTATGGTATCTTACGCCATGACTATCAACAAGAGCCAGGGACAATCGTTGTCTCATGTTGGTTTGTTTCTGAAGAAGCCTGTGTTCAGCCATAGACAGTTATACGTTGCTGTATCCCGTGTCACCAACCAAAGTGGTTTGAAAAATTTAGTTTGTGGTGACGATGACTCGCCTCCAAATCAAACCAAAAACGTTGTGTACAAAGAAGTTTTCAATAATTTATAAACTTTGTATTTTGCGTCCAACGTGTTTATTTTTGTCACAAATATAACAAGTTCATTAAATTTAATATTTAATTTTAAAAAATGCTTAGAAATATACCCTACCGTGCATCGCACGGGTAATTTCTAGTTGAATACGATAAGCTTATAAGCTAACCAAATGATCATAATCTAGCTTGTTTGATCAGCGAACATAACTCAAATCTTATTTGAGTTCATGAAATTTATATGCAAATCAAACCCATTGTTATCGGTCATATGAGCAACCAAAAAATTCGAAATCAAAATTGATCAGTATAAGGAGGATGAAAAAGTAAAATGACGTAAAGGCAATTTTAAACAAGTGTTGTTGATTGTTGTTGCCCTTGTTATTAAAACGATCAGGAACCCAATAGAAAATCGGACCTCTTTCTCTATTCTCCTCTCTCTCTCTCTCTCTCTTCTCCCGTTCGAATCTGCGGCCCAAATTTGTAAGCTCCCCAACTCCTGTATGGTTTCCTTTTTTCGTACTCTACATGATTTAAGCGTTGATATATTTGTAGCTGAACTTATCATTATTTTCGATTTTACCGAATAATGATATAATAATTTGATTAGCTTCCATGTTTGCACTTGTCCGTGTGTTTGGGAATTCGTTGATCGATCTCAAGAAATGAAGTGGGTTTTTGATCGATACTGGAAGGCACAATTAATTGCTTCGATTTCTTAATATATTGTTTTCCCCCGAACTTGGGTTTAAGATTTGTTTGTTCTTTTAATCAATGTTTTAGTTAAAATTTCCTGATTAGTTACAAATATTAGTATTTTGGTTAATCTTGAGTAGCCATAGATCATTTGTGCTTTGTGTTTTAGGATGCCCTTTTGGCTGTATGTGCTGTAGGAGGAGGTATTCTCCAAGATCAAGTTCTAAGAATAAAATTTTTAAAGTATTGTGGAGCCACAGATTTTAAGATTCTTGTTGTTCTTTCTTTTTGGCGAGGTGGGTATACTTCACTATGCACTTTAGGCGCTTGTTGTCGGCTAAATAGTTTGAAAATTTGCTGAAAAGTTATGTTTCAACTGTTTCGAATTTTTAAAGTAAGATTCTATAATTGACAGATTCGTGATAACTTAAGGTTTAAGATTGTGATCGACCTTATGCAATTTATATTGTGAACTTTTTTTTTGGAGGGTTGTCATTTCGTGGAGGTGCCAATTCAAATTTGTAAAAGTGGCAGATGCTGTATAATATTGTGCAGTTGCTCAAAAATTTGGTTTCTGCCTAGTGCATCACCTTTAAGTTGAGCAACTCTTTAATCAGAATGGGGAACTTGCATAGGAGGTTCGCCTTTGCATCCCAATGTACTGTTAAAAATTTACTTGACTACTTCAGCATTCTAATTTACTTGTGCGCTGCATATGCAGTGGAGGCGTAAAGAGGTCAAATGATGGTGTGCGTCTCTTTCTAACAACCCTCATTGGGATGGTGTTTGGATATTGTATAGGTGTTTCATTTCCTACTGTTTCTTTAAGCAAGGTATGGCTCTTTTTCTCTCATGGTCAATGGAAAATGTTTTTTTTTTTTTTTTTTTTTTTTTTTTTTTT